ACCTAAAATTTGTTATGAATGAAAAATTGAAAGAAATAGAAAGGGTGAAAAAGTTTTATTAGAATATTTAAAAACTCTTTGTAAGGGTTATAAAGAGAAGGCATCTAAATCTTTATCAACAACACAAATATCTTTTTCATATATATTTGAAATTAATTTAGATTTCTTTCCCATTAACTTTTCAACAAATTCATCTCCAATTTCTAGTAATTCTACTTTTTTTAATATATTTGGCCAATCAAAACCTCCTATATTATATCCAATTTCAATATCTCCATTAAATCTATAATATACTTCTGCAAATTTTAATAAAAGTTCCTTTTCTGTTTCTACTTTAACAAAAATAAAATCCTTAGAATTATATGAAATTTTTTCTGAATATTTTGAAAAAAAAAGTGACGTATTTATTGGTAGTATTGTGATATTGTATCGTTTAAGTGGTTTAGGATTATTATAAAAAAATATATCAAATTGAATCATATATATGTAATCCAATTTCTCATTACTCTCTGGAAAATATCCAGAACCATGTTGGCTACTCCATTCTGTATCCCACACTACTATGATTAATTTAGGTATCTCTTTTGATAAATCAACCTTTTTAATATCACTTAGAGTTACTAAAATGTTATTGTAAATTCTTTCATTTTTTAATTGATACCAACCAACAAGCTCAAAATCATTTTCTCATGCAACTTTTCAATAATGATATGATATATCATCTGAATATGTATCATATCATTCCCAAAAATTTTCAATCTTTTGTATAATTTCTTTTTCTTTTTCTTTTAAATATACAGTTGATACTGTCTAAATGCATACTGCATACTGTCTAAATGTATAATTTTTTTTAAAAAATTAATAGTAATATGCATTTAAACAGTTAATTTTCTGATATCTGATTGGTTAAAACTGTATAAATGCATAAAATTGGTCTTTCCGACCGTATGCATTTAGACAGTATCGACTGTATTTGTTTTTTTAATTTGTTTAATTTATCAAGTCTATTTTTTAATCTCTGCAATTCTACTTTTCATTCTTTATGTGTTTTGAAATATAAACAAATAAAATTATATTTTTTTATGAAATCAAATGGTTGTTTTTCAATAATTTCGAAAAAATCTGGATTAAATTCATCAATATATGAATCAATTAATTCTTCACTTTCATTCTTTAACTTAATATCAAAAAATATATCTTTTACAACAATGTTTATAGTTATTTTTTCTCTATTTGTACAAACAGAGAATAAACGTAACAAATAATTTTTATAATTAGAAGCATCAACAGCTTCATATATGAAAAATAGATTTGGTATTTTATTATAAGAATTTATTAAATCTTTACATAACATTTTCATATACACATGAAAAAATTTATTTGGTTAATTATAACTGAATATTATTTATTAATATACTTTATTTTCATTGATAGTAAATAACCCATATTCTTGATAATGCATTGCTTTAACTATTTTTTTACAAATAGATAAAAATTTAATCACTTGTTCTTCTGTTTTAATTTTTTTTGGAGAATAATTAAATTCAGTGATTAGGCTTAAGGTTTTATGATATTTTTTTTGAAACCGTTGAAAAAGTAGATAATTAAGTTCATCAAAGTATAAAAAATTTTCTTGTAACTGTTTAAGCTCTTGACAAAAGATACACATTTTTAAGTTATATAATTAAATTTCTAACCGGTTTTAAAAAAACTGATTAGATTATAAATAATTGTTGAAAATACATATTATATTCTTCTACTTTAGCATCATCAGTATTAAAAACAATATGTTTAGGATATAATTTAGATGCCTTCTCTTTATAACCCTTACAAAGAGTTTTTAAATATTCTAATAAAACTTTTTTACCCTTTCTATTTCTTTCATTTTTTCATTCATAACAAATTTTAGGTGAATATTTAATAAAAAAATTATATTTAGCATTAATTTTTTCTTCCTTTTTCAATTTCTTTTTAAAATAATCAAGTTTCAACTTATCATTAATAAGAATTTTAGAAAAAATCATAGTGTCCTTGGTAGTTCTATCAATTAAATAGATATCATATTCATCTTTTCTAATTATTTTATTTTTTTTCTGATATGCGTCAATTAAAAGATCTTGAAACATAAATCCATATCTTCGTGTATCTTGATAAAAATACTCCAAATCTTCTCCAAAACGAAGTGACATTTCTTCAGGAAAATATACTTTTTTTCCTTGATTTTCAAAAAAATCTTTTAAAGCAATTAAGAAAGTTGTTTTTCTAGCACCAATTGAACCAAAAGCAACAATGACTTTAGGGTTTGGTTTTGAATTTTTAATATCTATTTTTTTTTATTTTAAGATTACATAAATAAAATTATATTTAGTGAAAACTCACTAAATATATTAATAATGATAAGGACTAAACCTATTAATACTACATTTAATTGAAAGTTTAGATATTTTTACATTTCTTTTTAAGTTCATTCCAAATATTAAAACTGGTTTATCAGAATCAATTTCAATATTTTCAATAGTAAGATCTTCTATTGTAAAAGATTCTTTTTCAAGTTTTTCTTTTTTTTATTTTTGTTTTAGTAAGTTTAATTTGATTTACTATATCCTGTGGAATACATAAAATAATTTTTTGTTTTGAATTCTTTGCTTCATTTTGTGCATTGATTGTATATGTTATATTTGTTACAAAAAAACCAATAGTATCTTCTAGTTGTTTTGCTAAAACTGCTGAAAACTCACGAATATCTCCTGGCCCAACTTTATATTTTTCAGATTTGTTTTTCACTTGCATAATGTAATTTATTAATTTATAATTTCCAAATAAATCCGTTCCACCATCACCAATAAGAACAAATATTGAATTAACATTATAACTTGTTCTTGTTGTATAACATTCAATTGAGTTTTTGCGTAAAAGTTTTAAAAGTAATAATTCAAGTTCATCACCCTTTTCAGTAGTAGAAATCTAAAAAAAAAAAAATCTATTAGTAAATTGTTATCATCATTCAAACACATTTTTAATACTAAATACTATTCACGACTAAAGTCTAATGCTACTTTTTTCACAAAATATGACTTTCAGATTCAACACTAGCGATTTCTTGACACTATTCACAGAAATCCTAATGCTATCAAGACTTATTCTAGCTGCATAACTTACAATCTGAAAGAGAACTAAACAAAATACTAAATAAACAATTACTTATTTTTTTAGATTCCATTATTAATTACATAAATAAAATTCTATTCGGTTATATAAACTGAATAGAATATTTGATAAAAAATAACATAAAAGAAAATAATAAAATAAATTTTAAAAAATAAATCTCACTAATCGTATTTGAAGTTTTTAATAAAATTTTATCAACAACTTCTTCTATTGAAAGATATGTTGTATCAATAACAAAAATTGTTGAAAGTTTTGTAATTTCTTTAATAAATTCAATTGATAATGTATTTTGTTTAATTATATCTAAACAAATATCATTATAATTATTATTTTTTAATTGATTTAATCTTCTTTGAACATGTGTTTTAAAATTAGCAGTTAATAGAATTTTTAATTCAGCATTAGGAAGAATATTTGTTGCAAAATCGCGACCAGATATAATATATTTCTTTTCTTTAGTATTCTTGCAAATTATTCTATTAATTTCTTTTCATATATTATCATTTTTAGCAATTAAACTAGCTCTTGAACTATTTTCAATATATTTTTCATTTTCAAAAAATACTGATTCATTAAGTTGAAATATATGTTTAAAAATATCTTGTTGTAATAAAGATAATAATTCTTGTTCATCTTGACTTGCTGTTTTTGATGCTAGGTAATAATAAAATAATCTACTATCAATAAATCGATAATTTAATTTTAATGCAAGTGATCTACCAATAGTAGATTTTCCTGTTGATGTTAGACCATCGATTGTTATATTAATCTTCATTATTATATAATTAAATTTCTAACTGGTTATTAACTAGTTAGATTATATTTAAATATATTTAATAAATAAAAAAATAAATAAATAAAATAAAATAAAATATTCTAAATCGATTCTCTAGACCTCAAATTCCAATTACCATGTCTTTCATCACTTTTCTCAACTAAGTCTTTCCAACCATTTTTTTTCTTTCATCTTTTTCGATAACAACTTCATCAATAGTAATATTTAATTCTTCACTAGTTCCATTTGAAATATTATCTAATTTAACTCCTTTTCTTTTATGGTTCAAACTATTACATTCTTTTGAAATCACTTCAATAATTTTTTCTAAATTATTTTTTAGACAATCAGTTAAATTACAGTATATTTTTTAAGATCCTTTAAATCGCAAAGAAACCATGCATCATGATTTTTAGGTTCAGTATTTTTAGGAACTTGATCAATAATTGAGTAGAAAATAAAAGTTCTAAATAAACAATCTTTTCCATCAGGAAATTTACGAAATCTATTTTTAAAACTAATTAAATCCACTTGTCCAATTTGAATACCTGCTTCTTCTTTAGCTTCACGAATTGTGCATTGTTCAAATGTTTCATTTTTTTCTTTTTTCCTACCAACAACTTGATAATGATCATAATAATCTTTATCAGGGTTATTTCTTCTACTAAGCCAAACCTGTTTATCATAAGTAACTAAGAGACAAATAGAAAATTCTCTACGATTATTTTCATATTTATCAATAGTTTCTTTTTTTCTTTATAAAATATTCATATTAATAGAAATTTGGCTTTTGATTTCTAATTTTGTTTTTGAATAATCGATAGTAAATTCATATCAAGGAATTAGATTTAGGGTATTCAAAAAAGTAAAATATATTCCATTAAGAGCTGAAATTTCAGTATATTCTTTAGAAGCTATTTCGTATTCGTTTTCCATTTTTTTTTTAATTACATATTTAAATATCTAATCGATCAAAGACTGATTAGATATTATTATCTTTAAATATAACTTTATTATTATTAATAAAACCATTTTGATTAAATATATATTTACTACTACATGTATGAAATTCTAAATAATGATATTGTTTACAACTAATGCAAAAATAATTTTTTCATTATCTTTAACAACAAAACCATCGTCAGTATTATAATCCAAAAATCTTTCAGAAATAGTTGATTCAGTTGTGATATCATCATCATTATCAAAATCATCTTCAGAATAAAGTTTTCGTTTACATTGTTTACAATAATTTTGTTTATAAATAAAATCACAACTATCACAATAATAAAAATAATGTTTGTGTATAATTAACCAATTTTTAGTATCATATTTTCGTTTATAATTATAAACAGATTTTTTCTGTTATTTAATTTGTAAACTTCTTCGAATTATAATATTTGAACTTGAATTAATTTCAGTATAAAAATTATACGGTTCAATTGAATTTTTTTTGTGATATGAAAAATTATTTTTTGACTTCATTTTTGATTACAAAAATAAAATTCTATTTGGTAAAAAAAACTAAATAGTTGCTAAATAGTTAACTTCTTCAATCTCTTCAACCTCTTCAATAGTCTCATCTTTAAATTTAGTTTCTAAATCATTAAAATTTTTTAAACTCATATTAATACCAATAGTAATTTCATTAAGAGTTTTTAACTATTCAGAAGCACGTTCATAATTGGGATTTTTTTCTATTAATTGGCATTTTATTTTTAATTTCTTCAATTTGAGAAGCTTGATTTTTTTGAATATTTCTTAAAATTTTAATCACTTCTAAACGTTCTTCAAGACAGGGATAACAATTAACAAGAGAATTCTCAGGAGGATTAGATTCATTTGCTATCCTTTTTTAAAAACATAAAAGTCAATTTTTTCTTTTGAAAAAATTGTTCTTGGTTTCTTTTTATCATAAAGAGTTGTATTAACACCAGTTTGTTTTGGTTGTTTAGGCATTTTGAAATTTTTTATTTTTTTTTTTTTAACGTCTACCCTCTTGGGAGCTGGGATTTTTATTCAA